ATTTTGTGAAACAAGATAAGTTGGACAGCCGTCATCGCTCCCAATTGCCAGCTGCTGCCCACACACACTGCTGGCAAATCAGGAGGTATTCAAGCACCCCTCACCTACTCAGAGCAGAGACTGACACCACAGGCTTGGCCTCAGCCACAGCTCCACAAGGGCATTCCTTCCCTTCTGTCACCTCCCTCGTGGGTGGTGACTCGCAGCAGACAGGAAGGCTGGACAGCTGGCTGGTAACCACTGCAGTGATCCCTGCCCTCCCGAGCTGGCCATGCAGAAATGCCACAGTTCAGATGTACGTGAACAGATTGTTGCCTCCAGATTCGTGTTAAATATGGAAATACACAGCAGATGTAGGGTCAGTCGGTCCAACAGTTGATTATTACCTCTGGGATACACCATACGTCTTACCCAGTACCTTTCTTGTACTGATTTCGTTGGTCACGTTGCTTTACAGTCAGTCAAGACAAACCTGCTGATTCAGCTGAAAAAACACCCTAGACAAATGGAACTGTTTTAACTGGATAAACTTGTGATCTGATCCAAAGAGCAAAGATGGAGTCGGGAATAAGCACAAGAGAGTCCCTTTCAGCAATGCCACACACCTAGACTGTGTTAAGTGAAGCATGAAACTGTACCCTGAGGATTCACCTACCATCTTTGGCAGAGTCCATCCATCCACATACCATTCAGTTTATATTTATCACAGTCTCTTCTAGCTCAGCTGCTACTCCTTGGTTTTGTCCTGTAGTTATAAGCTGTGTGTTAAGCCTCTTAATTTCACATTAACTGCATTCCTAAATTTAGTGCTTCTAGGAAGCAAGGAAGGGCTCCATAAAATGGATTGCCAACAAGCCACATACTTAAACTATTAAACAAAGGTATTTTAAATCAGTCAACCTACATGAGTCTCTTATTTTATCCTGTCTTCTTTGGAGCTTTGTAGTCACCATTGATACCCATTAAAAAGACCTTCAAAACAACTGCTTTTATTAATCACAGTTTTAAAAGACTTCTTGAGAACTCCACACTCAAATCTGATGGAATGTGAATGTTCCCTATCTATTGAAAAAGAAAGAAGGGATGTTTTTCAAGTCTGTGAAACGGCTCTGGCCTACGTTATATATCTATACAATAAAAGAGCTTCAGTATCTCTTTGTCTGCTCTACTGCGTCACTGGTTTAGCACTGAAAAGAAAAATCACAAAAAAGAAAAATCAGCTTTTTCTATTTAGATGTCCAGTAGATTAAAGTGTTTAAGACATTGTCACAGGCTCTTTCTAATCTCAGAAAGTTTTTCTTCTCAAAAGTCACTGAACACTGCTCTTACCTTGGCTAAGATCCTTGGATCAGGAGGCTGAGGCTAAGTGTAAACTTCACTAACATACAGCCAAGCTGTCCTTAATTTTGATAGCATTGCTTTGAGGTGAGCAAGCAAGAGGTAAAGACTTTATCCTAAAAGCAAACGAGAACACCAAGAAGATACTTCCTCAGCCGGCTGTCAGCAGATCAGAGCAACCTTCCAAAGTGTGCAGAAGTGGGATGACTGCTCACTGAAATACACACAATCTGTGATTTCAGCAGTGAATTTGAGCAGCTGCTGTTTGTCAGAGAGGCGTCCCTTGGAGTGCAAACAACCCATGAACTATCTAGGGTCACCACTAAGATAGGCTTGTTTCCTGGTAATGCAAAACAGCACCTGGCTTAAAAATCCACATGGGGAGAAGGTAACTGCAATACTGCATAATGTGCCTTGTAAGAAAAGCAATATAATACTTGGTTTTCCTTTGATTTCAAGAAGTGCTTTTGTCTCTATCATGCTCTGCTTGGGGAGATCAATAAGCCAAGGTTCTGGATAAGCCTCTTTTTCCTTAGCATTTAAGGTTGTGTCCTCGAAGGCATCTACATGTGTGAGGCAAGAGCAGCTCCAGCAGTGCTGGACACAGAGTAACAGCAGTCAAGCAGAAAGAACTACCAGTTCTTGGGCTCCACTCAGAACTGCTTTGAGAGCTGGCAGGGCTCCTAGGTTCCCCCCTCTACCCTCGATTTTCCCCATCTCTCCTTGGTCTGCACAGTGCAGATACCTGAATACACCTGCACAAAAACGAACAGATTGTTCAGAGAAGATGCTGGCAAGAATCAAAAGGACACGTGTAAATATGCTGACCAAGGAGACAGCAAAGCACTGTAGGTGAACAGAAACACAACAGCCAGAAAAGAAATGTAGCTACTTTGAAGGCAAGATGCTTCCATACTGTGGAGGAAGTATGAGACAGTACGACCTCTTGCATGAGATCTCTCTTTCTCTACACGCATACACATTGAATATCATTCAAAGGATACTTTAGGAATTCAATATAATTCATTCAAATTCTATAAATTCTTTCAACAGACTGGTGTATGTTTTTTAACTAACGTTGTGACATCACTAAATAAAATAATTCTTTAAGTTTATGCGTATGTTTAAAGAAATATTGAACATGCTTCTAGACCTGTCCAATTCCTGCACAGTTTCACAGGATTAAAGTCAAATATATACATACATCCATTATCAAGTAATAAAAAACTTAGCCAAATTAAGGCATTTCAGTACTCAGGTAAAATAAGGGCATATCCAAGGAAACAGAAACAGGAAGGGAAGTCTAAGATGCCATGAATACCCATGATGAGTGCAACTCCAGGGAATCACTTATGAAACACACTTGAACGACCTTAGCAGGAGATTACACTCTGAATTCCAGAGGAAGTTAGAATCTGACAGGGGAAATTCCTTCCCCACTCTGTGTTGAGCTCCACATTGCCTTGAGCAAGGGATTAGCCAGGAATCTAGAAATGACACTTTCTGGTATGCCTGAGCACATGTTCACAAGAATGTGAGTAGTAAGTACTTCAGAGAGTAATTGGCTACATCACCCATGGAGAAGTCAAGTCAAATTACAGAGCCTAAGCACCAGTAACTATTGTCCTAATGCAGAACTGCACATTTTATCAATACCTCCAGTCATTTTAATTCAATCATCTCCACCCTTCCCCAGCCCAACAATTTATCAAAGCTAGATGAAAGCATATCTTAATGATTAGGACCAGATCACGACACAGCTTTCTGCATAAGCCTTTCTGTTGTTTGTATTCTTAGCAGCTGCCTCAAGACCAATGTCTAGCCACTGAATATTTTCTTTCTTTTGCCAGTAAGTGAAACGGATCTGAATTGTCTTCCATTATCAGGGTGCAGCTACGCGTAGTGATGAAGTGACTGTTTTGTTTATTGAGAAACACTAAGGAGATTTAACTTGGGTCTGCATCACAGAAGTACTTTCCAAATACTTTGTTGCACATCTTCAAGTACAGGCACCAGAAACAGAACGCAGGATTCAAGCAAGATAACCTCCCTGCTTCTATTAATAGTCAAGGATCACATTTACTGCTGATAGCTGCAACAGCAGCTTTCTGTATATTGCTGTAACTCTAACACCCTTTCTGACTTCTCTGTAGGTATTTTGAGTCATTGTTTGCTATACAAATCTTGGTTTCTGTTTCCCAAGTGTATTTCACTGTGTATTAGGAATAAAAATACACAATGTCAGAAAACAAACAAATCACACACCCAAAGAATTAACCTCACTACAAACCCCACATAAAGTGAAATACTGTGCTTACATAAAAGGACAATTTATTAACAGGTCCAGGGTCTTTCCTAATCAGCACACACAAATAACTAACCTGCAAATGAGCCAGCATAAGAAGTCCTTCAGAGTTTGTTAGAAATACAGATATTTGCACAGCAAGTGACCTTCCTATACAAGCTAATTTCCAATAAATAGTACTTGCAATTTGCCAGAAGACATTTACCCTCATCCTGCAATCAATGTCCCATATCTAACATACAGATTTTCAGACTTTGTTATTTCTTGGCTTCAAAAACCGATACAAGTTCTTGGAGTTCTAGAGGCCTCTCAGATCAGGCAAGCAAACTTGTTTGGAGAAGGAACAATTTTTTCAACTGTAGCAGGGTTAATCTTACCAGCTCAGAGACAGTTAAGCCTCAGGCCAGAAGAGAGCTTTCCCTAGATAAGGTTTTTTTCTACTAGGCTCCTCCTAAGTTTAGCTATGCACTGTGAATGTCACATGACTTACAAGAACGTTGTTCCCCAGCATGGAAATGTCCTGTAATTTCTGAGTTCACAGGTTTCCAGCAACATGTTGGTCAATAAGAGAGGAAGAAACACACATTCATTATGCAGAACGAAAAATTCTGTGGTTTTGGGGTTTTTTTGCATTACAATACTGAGGATTTTGTGGTTAAGACACTGATCTACAGCTTTAATGAAAAAACCCAACTAACCACAAAAAGTTCAGATCTTCAATCTGACAGACTGCATACACAAACACCAGGTGAATCTCTCTTTCTGAACCATCTAACTAGATGTAGCTATACAATCACAGAATATGCCAAGTTGGAAGGGACCCACAGGGATCATTGACTCCAAACCTTAGCCCTGCACAGGACCATCCCCAAGAGTCACACCATGTGTCCGACAGTATTGTCCAAACACTTCTTAAGCTCTGTCAGGTTTGGTGCTGTGATCACTTCCCTGGGGAGCCTGTTCCAGCATCCAACCACCCTCTGGGGGAAGAACCTTTTTCTAATATCCAGCCTAAGCCTCTCCTGATAAAACTTCAGGCCATTCCCTTGGGTCCTATCACTGGTCACCACAGACAAGAGATCACAAGGAAGTTTTGACTGCAATGAGGTCTCCCCTCAATTTCCTCCAGGCTGAACAGAAGAAGCAAACTCAGCCACTCCCCACACGGTTTCCCCTCAAGGCCCTTCACCACCTTCATTGCCCTCCTCCAGATGCTCTCCAATAGCTTAATATCTTTCTTATATTGTGGTGCCCAAATCTGCACACAATATTCAAGATGAGGCCACACCAGTGCAGAGCAGAGTGGGACAATTCCTTCCCTCGACCAGCTGGTGATGCTTTGCCTGATGCCTCCCAGGACATGGTTGGCCCTCCTGGCTGCCAGGGCACTGCTGACTCATATTCCCCAAGTCCCTTTCCATTCCCTAACCTGTACAAACATCCAGGGTTGCCCCATTGCAGGTGTAGAATCCAGCACTTTTCCTTGTTGAAATTCATACAGTTGGTGACTGCCCAGTCCTCTCATTTGTCGAGGTCTCTCTGTAGGACCTCCCCGTCTTTGAGGGAGTCAACAGCTCCTCTGAGTTTTGTGTCATCTGCAAACTTGCTTAGTATCTCCTCCAGTTCTGCATCCAAGTAATTTATGAAGATGTTAGATGTTACATGTACGTATGTGTGCATACACAGGTATATGTATACACACACACACAAAACTATAGGCATAGAGCCACAAAAGTGGGGACAGAAACCACCACTTTCCCCAGTCAGCTTGAAAGGCAGTGGTAGTTTCTGCCTCCTGCCCAAAATAAAAATCAGATTTAAGAAGGATGCTGGTGAATTTTTCACCAACTTTGTGAGTCTTCTATTTCAACCTTGCATCTCAATTATCTTTTTTAGTTATGATTACAACCTGACCAAGATATTATGACATCTAGCGTGATCCCTTCCATTTTATTTTTTTTGGTTAGTCTCAAGCCAAAAGGAAGAAAGTTGATTTCTTAGGTAACTACTATGGTAAAACACAGAAAAAAATTCTTCATTCATCTATGCCAAGGAAACCCTAGCTTACAAAATTCGTTATTATATTCTCTGAATATAAAGCAGGCAAAATCTCTAAGCTCCAGCCAGCTTCTACAGTGTAATCAATTTGAACAAATAACATATAACAAATATCTTAGGAATTTTCCGAGAAAATAACAATGAAAATTTCTGCTGCAATGAGGGGGATCCAACAATTTACTAAGTGAAGTCTATAAGAAGTGCCATCCCTCCTCCTCTTCACTCAAGTGGGTTCTACTTTTCTGCTGATTGAAAAGCAGAGATTATTTATGAGGACCAGGTGAAGGTCATGTTATGTGATCTATTGCCTGTGAGTCTGAAGACAGACAGAGTTTCAACATGAAAACTATGTACGAAGCAGTGTATTTCCAAAATTATTGTGAATCAATTTCTAGTATTGGCAAAAACCTCTTTCAAGTTATACTGCAAAAGTAACAATTAAGATTAGCAAACTGGTCAAAGAGTACACAAGATGACAAGGCTTTGGTATAGAAGATTCCTTTTAAAAAACAAAGCAGTTAAAATGAGTGACCACTTGCCAGTTAATTTCCCTCTTAAAAGAATACCCCCTCCCCACCAAAATGAAAGGCTTCAGAAATACAGATGCATGAAAATCTAAAAACAATGTAGTAATATTTTCTCTATCATCTCAGAAACAGTCACTGTTCCCACCCGTAAAACTCTGCCTCTTGCAGACCTCCCCAGACAGCAACCCCTCAAGCAGTCTCCTCCCTCTTCAAAGACTGGGTATGAGAAGTGAGCTACAAATTTTTTTCTTCCAGATGCATGCATTAAGTAGTGCTGATGAATGTAATAATACACATACAACAGCCAAATACTGGAAGCTGCTATTAAAATGTCAGAAATAAAAGTCTCTGGATATTCCTGCCTATTCCTTCACATTAAAAGATACAACCTTGGTATTACACTCAGTTCTGTACAACTAGCCAAAGTGTTTACTGATGTTCTGTAAGCCTAACATTAGAACCTATGTACTTCAAAAAATGACAGCACAGAAAGTACACAGTCAAAGAAGCTCTTAAGTGTCCCCTGCTATCATAGTTTGTGGAGCCTGCTGGAACAGGTTTGTAAACAGAAGTTAAGAGATCAGGTAGAAGTTCTTATAGTAAGAGCACAACTCCAAATATGAACAGCTGCCTCTGCTGAATCGAGTTCAAATTTACCCCAGATAATTTAAAAAGCAACAAATTGGCATCTGGGGCTTTCTAGGAGAAGGTTACAATTGTAGGTCTTCCAAAAAAAAAAAAAAAAAAAAAATTCCAAGAAAAACTGCAATACCAGCTGACCAGTCACTTCTGGGGATTAAAATCGTGAGTACGCAGTTCTTTGCTGTTGCTGCTGGGACGGCGGCTGTCCTTGCTGTTGCTGGAGACGGACCTGCTGGGAGTACGGATCCTCAAGAGATTTAACAAAGATAGTTGTTTTAGGCCCGGTTTTCCAGACAATACCATTTGAATCTATTACAGAGGACTCTACTGTGATGTTGTGGGTGCCAAGTATCACGAAGTTTAACAGAAACTGAGTGCTGAAGTAGTCGTTGTGTGGTTCCACCCTCTGCTCCATTTCATTGGTCATGTTGTCAATAGGAATCTGAGAACAGAGATGGTTAAAATGTCACTTCATATAAACCTGTCAAAAATAAGTTTTCTGCTCTCCATTTGAGGGAAAGAAAGAAAAAAGAGAGAAAATTTTGTCCTCAATTTTCCTAGACCAGTGCATGTTTGAGACAGCTTGACACGCTTTTTTATTGATGACCTTTTATACCTACTCACAGAAGCAAGGTAGCCAACAAGTTTTTCTACCTGAGGTTCTAGTTTTCCACAGAGTAATACAAGTCAAACATTACACACTTCCTAGTTCTGTTTATCATAAGCAACTAACCTTCCCCTTTTCCCCCCCCCTCAAAAAACCCCAACCAACCAACCAACCAACCAAAAACCCAACCCCAAAACCCACCAGAACAGGCCTTTCACCAAATACCACACATCAGCAGAACCTAAACTCCAGGCATGCAATCTTTGATAAAACTGTTGAGTTAAATTTAATATGTATCTCCTCAGATGCTCTTTAATTTGGACAGTCTGTCCTCATGATTTCCATAAACAAAATAAAAGAACCTTAAAATGATGGTAAGTTCTAGAGACTATGTAGTAGAGAATAATCTGCTCCTGGGTTTTTTTGTCCTGTGGAGTTCCATACGATATATACCTAGGTTGAGTTTTCCTGATCTCAAGCAGATGCCTAATGACTTGTTCTGAACATCACAAAGCCTCTTTCTTTGGAGGAGAAGTTGTTTTTAAAATGGTATTGGCATATAACAGATTTGAAAATCCCAGATCCCTTCCAGGCACTATGCCTGGCTCTGGCCAGTGCTCGAATGTCAACTGTCGGGAGTGAAAGAATAACAGAACCACCCATTTGTTTCAACCTGAAAATTCTGCTAACCAGAGTCAAACAAAAGAACATGAAAACACAGCAAAAGAGCTTCAGACTCCTCCTGGCTCTATTCTATCCATACCTTATAGTCTTGTCCAGATTTGCTCTGCAGCACTGAAGAGACATTTAGACAGACCGATTGGATTTTGCGGAAAAGGCCTGGTTTAGATCCGTGCTGAACCACTCCTTCCACCTTTAGGGCCAATTGCTGATTGTTCTGTACTGCTATAGGTTCTGCTGGGTTCCTTGGAGATGGGGATAGAGCAAGCTGAAACACAAGTAAACAGACCAAAATGTAATTATAAGCCTCCAGAAAAGCAAACACAATAGAAGGATGAAACAGGACACCTTCTTATAGAAAAATTTCCAAGGAGAGGTTCGTAAGAAAACCAGCAAATGGAAAAACAGAAATTATCTGAGACCTTTTGTTATATTAACTAATAAACATCAGCAATACCAGATATTGTGTTTATATCAGTTTCATTTACTATATTTCCACAAAAGGTATGGAGAAATCTTCCCCCAAAACAGCCACAAGTAAGTATATTAAGCTGAACAAAGAAGTGAAATGCAATAAGAATAAATATAAAAAAAAACTTAAGGCTTTCATTTTTCCCCCAAAAAAACGAGGACTTAAGTAAAACAAAAAAATATGACCATAGTCATATATAGTCATTCTTGTCAGTCAGCTGATACATATCCCAATTTTCTTCAAAATAGTAAACCTTGCTTTTTAAAGGAAAAGCTGCCTTCCTGGGACAAGAACATTATTTAGCTTTGCAGACTCAGAATCAAGAAAAATTCCAGCAACATTTTGCCTTTAAGGCTTTGCAACCAAAGAACTGAATCCTACTTATCGAAGTCCCAGCCTAGTGGTTCTCAACGACCATACATGGTAGTATTCAATTTATTCCTAAGAGATAAACCCAAATGCTATTTGCAGTTAAGTATCTTCACTAAAAATACTGAAGCTTTGTGCCTTCAGTAGGGCTTTTCTCATGAAATAAAGACTCTGGAAAGAGAAATTTTAGGCCATATTTGAACAGTACTTACTTTGATACTTGTAGACTGCAGCTTTTGGAAAAAGTACCTTTGAAATGAAAGGGGCACCTTCAACAAGGCAATGACAGCATTGCACAGACAAGCTGTATGCTGCAAGAAACAGAACCAGAACAATTGAGAAGAAAATATCATTCACAGCATAGGAAAAAGACACATACTCGAGGTACTGAAACAGCAGTAATTTCCACTAGAAGTCCAGAAATATATTAATACAGTCACAGAATAACAGCCACTATGATGACAGTGATTACATTCAGCCTGTTTATGTTCTGCTTTTTATGAAGAAGGTATTCTGCTCTGGAAACAACAAGGAGGCCAAGAAAAAGAAAAATACAAATCTTTCCAGTCCTAGTGTTAGAGTCAGCAGAGCAGGATCTGCTTGAAACACTCGTACACAAAACCACACAAACTCCCCTCCAAGCAAACAAGACTGGCATCTATCAGAACTTAATACAATAATTAAGTTTTAAGCCTCTTGACCACTCTTTCTTTCCCTGCTGCACTATACCACCCTTCTGGCTCAGATGAACACAAGCAGTGTGTTCAGCACAAGCTGCTGAAGCCACGCAGCTGCCTTGGTACAGAGCCAGTGACAACTAGAGTTTACAGGGTTTACCTTTGCTACCATTTATGGGACTCATTCTTCAATTCTATTTTGAATTGGTAAGGACTGTTGAATTTAGAAGCCAGGCATGATAAATAAACTACCTGGCTCCCATTAACATGCACTTCAGTTTTATGATGTTCACTAACAGTAAAAGACAGAACCACTGCAGCCCTGTAAAGGGGCACATTATCACCTGGCTGTTTGCACTAAGCACACTTTACCTCGTGTCCTCTGATGACCTACACTGATAAGACAAAGGATACATTCACAAAACAGTATTGTGAATGTACAACAACCAACAGCTCTGGGACCAAAGCTAGGCTAGTGCTGGACCCCCCAGCACTGTGTGTGGTAGGGGGAGAATTCCTTCACAACAAGAGCATGAACAGAGAGAACGCGCTTCAGTGTTTGAATGTGAGTGTGGCAAGAGGTCTGACAGAGTTGACAGTACTTTCAGTTATCTTATCAGCATCTGCTATGCTCTAAGTATCAGAATTTTTAAAAGATTATTTTTAATCATACCAGTAAGGTTACAGGTGTTTTATCAAAAACATTTTTGAAGTATTTCTGAAGTAGTGTGCCTTTGTAGAGACCATTTGTGCCAGTAAGAGGTTGTGCTAATTAACTGAGCGTGCTTTTTGGTTTCTTGGCCATATGCCCATAGATATATGTATGGAGTTGCCAGGTTTTTAGAACCTTTGCCTATAGAGTATACATTTAAAATAAAACTGTTACTTGCCAGGTAAGACACAGGAGCATACTTCCTGTTGAGGGATTCCACTTCCTCTAGTACATGATTAAATACAGACATCATTCTTCTTTCATATTCACTTTCAACATGAGCTGTTCCATTTGAGCTATACTCCTGGAAACTAAAAAAATAAAACTTTTTACTGTGTCTAACTTACTTTCCTCATCATAATCTGGAAGGCACACTACCAAACAGACCCAACAAGACCATCCTCTGTTACAACTTGAAATCCATTAAGGGATATCTTTCAAACTGTTTACTCTGTTTCTTTACTATTTTTTTCACTGTAAGACTTGCTCTTTACATTTAAACCCTTCTAAACTACAGCTTAGCCACCACTTTCTGTCCCCACCCTCTCTCACTTGAAGCAGTTACAGGTCTAACAGACTCAGCATGCCTACTTCCCCTGGCTTTTATTTAAGCCTGCAGTGTTTATAACATTTTTAAACACAAAGAAAAGCAAGAATGCCAGTCAGAATTAAGACTAAACCTGGAAGTTTATAATCTCACGACTTGAATACAATTCCATCTCCTAGACACCCAGCTTCATATGTGTTTGATTAACACACCTTCTAAGCGACGCTTAATTCATAATGAGTAGTACAGTCACTTAGGATGCTCACTTCTATTGCTCACTTTGTGATTTACAAAATCACTAAGAGGCTTTATCCACAGTATTTTCCATTTAATCTCAGCCTGGGAGTTTACAACAGTGATTCAATTCATGGGTACTTCAATGTGATTTTCTAGTGGACATAAGTTCACTGTTAGAAAAAGAATCAGAGGTGATGGATTTTCATTAGAAATTTGAACTAATTTAGTGCATATATTTTCACAACTGTGAAGGAAGCTAAGGTGCACTCACAAGTGCAAGCAACAGGTAGGGGAGCTAACACAGGATGACACAAGATAAATGAGGTGGTTAAAGGAGAGATTAAAAGTCTTTTTTACTTTAATGCAAGACTATATTCAAGACAAGTCCAGTATAGTGCTCTCGAGCAAAATCAGTGCAAAATGCAGAACTCAAAACACAGTCCCCAGCCTGCCAGGTATAGCACAGAAGCAACAGATCCTTAAGCCTGCCCAAAGTATAATTAGAAGGGTCTACCGAGAAACCTTTCCGAACATTCTTCCAATTCCAGCACTTAAAGCTCCAAGGATTTAGAAATAATCAGAAAAGGAGCATGAAGTTAACTATCAAACCTACCTTGCAGATTCTGGATCCAAAATCAAAGCTTCTATTGCATGTGAAATCAAAAGGCAGCTCTGCTGTTGTCTGATATTAATACTAAGGAGCTGAAAGGCTTAAAAAGTTGGCACCTAAAACAAGAAATGCAGTGTATTTAGTGGCACTTTTTCTTGTTTCTCTAGCTTTTGTGAAGCAATCCTACAGTCATTACTTGTTAAGTAAACATGGAGCAAGAACTATGAAATTACCAAGTCTTGTGCTGCTCCAATTTTTGTGTAATAAGTTGTTCATAAAGTAATTCCAAACAATAGTGTGGTAATGTTTATTTTCAAATAGGTTTAAGCAACTGGTACATAATTTTTATGTTATTAAGTGCTTCAAAATGACTTTGTGGCAGTCTACAGAAAAGACAATTGTTAAGCTTCATGCTGTCTACATGAGAAGGCAAGTGGACAAATTATAAGATATTAAAAGGATACAGTTCTACATTCCTTAGAGTTGCAGAGTCTGCATCAAAAGACGACTGATACAGATCTCCATACCGTGTAGCCAAGTTTCGGAATTCCTCCATTGAGTGTTTCATCTACAGAGACAATGTTACTAGTCAAAAACACCAGTCAAAGGAAAACAAACAAAACACCACACATTAAGAATACCAGTACACTATAACATACAACACTGAAGGAATAAGGTAACACACTCCACCAAAATATATAAAGTTCTTGCTTCTTCACACAGATGAAAATTACCAAAATGACAGACTGTTATCCACACATTAAGCAGACATTTCTCCTGTAACAGAACACCAACATACACTCCTTGGGTTAAAAACAAAGCAAACCAAAAGAACTCCAGCAACAACCTCCTCCATTCCCTACTGGTAAATCAAACTGCTTTAGCTTTCAAAGGCTACCCACTGATTCCTTCTTGTAGACTACGTGCTTTTTAGAAGCAAACCATCTTGGTGTTTTTCATGGTATCGAGGCAGTTGCCAACACTCACCAAAAGGAGTTGCAGTACGATCCTAAGGTATATATATTCTTCTGCAGTGTAATCACAGTATCTGAGGTGTTTTAAGACAAGCTGTGAAAGGCCTTGCTGCAAGTTTGAGCGGCTCACTACATGCACATCCTTGGAAGCTGTGCGTGCAAGTGTACGAGAAAACATGCGCACACACTCAGCTTCAGAGTATGACCCGCTACAGGCAGGTCATATTAACAGGACAGGCATTTTTATAGCTACAGGTGAAAGTCAAGGCCCACAATTCAGCAAAACACTTCACTGCTACTTTTTGTTCTTTTGAAAGATACGACTGCTGAGAAGCAAAATTGGTACCCGAGTCCCAAACAGAACAGTGTGAGAGTGGAACAAGAACACGTGCCTGGTTAGAGATGCGTCCACACCTTTGGAGATCATTTCCTGATGTCATAGCAATCGTTGTGGCAATAGCTGGTGGTGGGCTTGTTTTTAGGCTGTTGCAGGTACAAATAAGTTGAGAAAAAGCTTGCAGAAGGTCAATCCTGAGTTTCACAAATCCACACTGAAAGCTCAGAGGATTAAGTGGAGTACTAGCAGCCTGAAACACAGTAATAGCAATGTTGGCAATCTAGGTCAAAAGCAAAAAATGATAAAATAACATTGCAGTGTCACTGAACTGTCTCATCAGACAACTAAAACCTAAAGTTCAAATTCTAAGAGCTTTTTTTAAAACTACATTTAACAGGTTTGTTCAATTTAAATCATACTAAATATAAATGACACAGAAGTTACATAATTCCTAACTCATATTGCAAGCATCTCACCCTTTTAATAAATGTGACTTAAGCTGTTACAGTGCTATTAGGGCACATATTTCCTCTTTTTCCAAGGCCAAGTCATAAGGCTTCAAATGACATTAGCCCAGATAGTCTTTACTGTAAGAGAAAGTACATTGAACTGGATGTCAAACAGAAACACAAGGACTGAAAAAGTGATTCTCTACATCAGCCAGAAGAGAAAGAATTGGCTAAAGTTACCCAGAGCAAGAGGAAGGGGTGATCACCTTCAATTTTTTTGGACTGTGAAATGGATGGGAACATTATGAAAGCCCTGAACCTTGCATTTGATGAAGGCCAAGAGACAAGATCCAGGGATAACTAAGGACAGTAAATAACAGAACTCCAGGAGGGTAGACAAGCCACTATTATTTAGAAAATACAGTTCTGTGAAACTTTGCTCCCTAAGAGCTTGTATGACTTGTAGAAGCATCTGTGACAGCTTAGGACACCCAGGAGGGGCTAAATTTGAGCACTCAAGGTTTGATACTACTTAAGCCAAAAATCCACTACTTATTTTTCTTAAACTCTTGGATTTTGAGAAGAATACACTTTTTTCTTTGCAGGGGGGGAGGAAAGTCATCTGCAAAACAAAGCACTGGGACTTTCTCTTACTCAGAGGATGAAAGTACGTCAAATTCATGCATATCTTCCCCAGTGCTTCTTATTTCTCAGCATGTCACTTCTGAAAGCAAGAAGTTGTAAGCCATCCCAAAACCTTACTAAGAACCATTTCTTTGCTGGCAGAGAAACAGTTAACTAGTGTCTCACAAAACATCACGTCATCTGAGAACTGGCCCACTACTGATTAAAGTGAGGAAACATAGCTGACTGCAGCCACTTTAAACTATTGAGCTAGATTTCAACTGAAGAAATAAGATTATTTCATCACTTGAGCCACTCAGCCTCTCTTATCTATCACTTTGCTTTTGCACAAAAAAAATCCCTTTTGAATTGAAAACGTTCAGTTTATTCTGCAGGGGTAGTTTCAGAAAACCCTCTGTGGAAGAGGGTCCACTGCACTGTAATTGCTCTACAGAGACTACACGCTTTTAAAGAGAGTAAAGTACCAGTACTTGTATCAGAAAATCCAGACATTTTTAGTAGCACAAATGGGACTTGATTCTTGTAAATGGAAATACAAGCTTGTCTCATTAATACTGCAATTACCTTATCTGCTACTCATATAGCCATGGGCAATAAATGAGTCACAATTCTTTTTTAAAACTGACAGAGTTCTTTAGCTCAGCCAAGTTCTTTGAACACCATCACTTGCTATCAACATATTTGGAATTAGTGCCACTTAACCAATGGCTGTATGAATGCTTTGTTCAAGTTTTGTATCTTCTCTAGATTACCAGCAGTGAAAAATAAGCACAAAGCTTCCAATGAGACACATGTTCCATGCCAGAAAGAGCAGGTCCTATTCAAACCTTTTGATAGCTCTACAAGCAAATACACAGCGAGATGGATGAGGACTGAGGTCAATATGCTCCATGACAAGTCCCTGTCCTCCCACATACAACTCTCATCCATAAAGTAATGGGACTACTTTCCCTCAAGCACACTAAGTCAGATGTAAGAACATTCTGCATGCAGCAATGCAAGACAGCTGTATGTGTATCAAGGAGGAATTGAGAAATTTTCCGACAAGATCAGACACTGTTTGAATGCTTCATCATTGCAAAACTGCGCTGACTAAATATCTGCAACAGATTTACTGGCAGTGTTTTCCAGCTACAAAGAGGAACAGCCACACAGGATTCATCATACACATCGCTGGTTTGTGGTATCACCAGTGCTGAGTTGTGCTCTGCACTGAAACAGCAGCAACAGTAAATCTGAAGTCAAGGGGGAGAGACAGCAAGTCTTCAGCAGCAAGACTATCGTGCACTCTGTGCACTTTGCCCCCCTTTGAGTTCTACAGATGCAAACAGCAAGTGGCTCCTTTTACAGCTGATACACTCAAGCAGGTTGGGAAATTGTCCAGAATGATGCAACAAGTCAGCAACAACCAGCAATAAACCCAAATTTTCTCTCCTCTAACCCTACAAAACCTGTACTTTCTCCTCTGGACCACAACCACTCAAAAGGAAGGTTCTGCACCCAGAAAAGCACTATGTGCAGCATGCAGGAAGCGAAGTCAGCAGAGACGAAGACAGGAACCCTTCAACAGAGAAACAGTCCCAAACTCTAGGGAGAGGGTAATTAAATTCCTGAATCACAGAATGACTTATTCAAGCAAGTTATTTTCCTGCCTGTATTAAATATTTACATCTAATTAGATGAAGTCCTCCCCTCAATGTCTTCTCCATGCTAGAGAAATCTTGAAATGCTGAATTAAAAGCCTTATTCACTCAGCCAACAGTTAAAGACTTCAGGAATAATGGGTCTTTCAGAGGATAACAGTGTAAAATTTATGTCCTTTCTGCTTATTCAGGGACATTTTATTAATAAATAGTAATATCTGAACTTTATTAAACACTTATATATGAATTGTCATGACCCAGACAGTGCTGGTAACTAAAAAAAGAGGAAAAAAGCAGCTTTGCTGAAGATACACAAAGCAAACTGTCTGTAAAGATTTCTTCATGGAAACTAAAATACGAAATAAAGCATTGTGTGAAGCTGGATCATCTTTAGTTAAGAAGCAACTTCACAGTAAGAACTGAAGGTCCTTATTCATTAATCCTTTTTTTTCTTTACATTCATAGATGTGGTATTTTTACCACTTCAGAGAAGCAGAAAAGTATTTGCATAAAAGCAGGTACCATCTGAATTCTGCCAATTTGATGAAGTTGAATTGTCTTTCCTCCTCTTTCTAAATTGGTGTTGCCTTGTTGTTAGGATTCCACAAGATCACACTGTCAAATACAAGGCAACATGAACTCAACAGGAGGGAGGAAGACAATTAAATTCTTCTCTATATTTTGAGAAGATAGCAGCCAATTTAGACAAATTCCCAGGTTTGACTATTACAATAGCTTTTATTCAGCCAAGACAAAGAGTGGAAAATTTTAAGTACTGTAACTTTAAACGAGATCTGACACATGTCATGTGATCTGATCAATGCAGGAAACGAAGGGTGGGGGGAAGAAGGAAAACCAAAAGTAAAATCTAGCTAATCACACTTGGCTGAGCTACAGGATCTTTTCTCTGAAGATGCAGTGTTACTTCTCTGCAGTCATCTCAAAAAGAGTCTGGCAGATGCTGTACATCTTTTAAAACTTCTCAGAGATTTAAGAACAGAAACCAAACACATGCTGCAGTACCCACAAACATCACCACTACAGTAGATGTGTGCTGACCGTCAGTGATGCTATTCCTTTGTGATAGGACTTTAAAGCTTCAGCAATGCAAGAAAGTGCTGAGCTGTAGTTGTCTTCCTGCAAACCTGTCAGACACTGTTCTGCATGGGAGAACTCCTTCAAGCTGTTCAGCCAGAAGTAGAAGTGTTCTGAAGCTACTTGAGTCAGCAGGCTTTGATACAGTTCTCTGGCCATGTCATGGTTGCCCTGTAATGAGAAGAATGTTTCTAAACGGGGATGTGAAAGAAGGCTGTGGATTTCTACAAAACAAATACAAATAAAAAAACTGTAACATCTCCAGAACTACTAGCTTAAAAACAGGACAGTCAAAGTTTTTTCAATCCTTTGATCGTGACAATCCTAATAAATAAAAGCACAAATCTTATTTTATGGAAATATCAGCCTGTATATACTAGTTATTTACACAAGATAATTCAATAAGATGAGAAACAAACATTGAAATTTACTTTCACCTCAGCATCTCATACTAGGTTCTGTGTAATTCTAATCCCAGCTGCTAATTTACTGAAGGGAAAAGGGAAATAGGATCTTTTTCTTCCTTTCTTCACATTGAAGAAAGAGAAGCACACATCAGGATGACCTGTATCACCTTCTAAAGAACAGTCAGACAATACAGATTAAGTATGTGCTCAAGAAAGTGCCAGGCCATTACTTACTTCCTTCTCAAATACTTCAAACACACAAGTGAAAAACCATTCTGATTGGATCAGTGTCCTAAATGGCATATTTCTGAATCAGCTTTCCAGGGAAATAAGAGAGAAAGCGATTTCTACTCCCCACCCCCATTTATTTCCTCCTCCCAAGTCCTACCATTTTCCTTATTTTCTCATCCAATTCAAAGAAATCAATAGCATCCCTCCAACCACAACAAACCATTTTCCTCCAGATATTTTCACTTACCATTCTGGAAGCCTGCCTGGCTATCCTGTAGGCTGTCCATCCATTGGAGGCATTCTCAAGCTGCTGTTTGATAACAGTTTTGATTTCTGTGGACAAAGCTTTCTGACTGGAAACAAATATCACTGTGGCAAGAGAAACCTAATAGAGAGTGGTGGAGTGAGGGAGAAAGTTATATTTCGGTAACTAAAGAAAAGAAGAAAAAAGCCAATTCTGTTTTATTTTGGACTCAAAACTACATTGAAGATTACACATAAATTTTAACTGCAAAACTTTTCTGAGTCATATCTTTTAAGTAGTTACAGCCATCCCAGTATTTCTTGTAGATCAAAGTAACTTTCATTTAAAGAATCTTTACTCTCCCTTTTAACTGAGATATTTCAAATGCTCCAAATAAACTAACAGAAAGCTTGTAATTTCTTTTTTAAAATTCAAATTCTTTTCCAAATAGATGTGATGAAAGCATTTTTCTCACTTACAATATATTAAGTCATTTTGCATCAGAGCACCATATATAAATGGAGCTAACTGCCATTTTGCCTATAACCATTACTTTGGAGATACCCCAATAATTTCAATAGCCAGGTTTGTCTAAGCAGTGCCACCTGCTGGAAAATCTAATGGAATACACTGCTTAGTTCAGCTCCATCTAGGAAATAGTTCTACACTAAACGCTGAGGTATGTAGTCAAAAGTTAAAACAAAACTGAAAATAGTGGCTATAGATTGGCACATCAACCTGGACATGACAAATGTTTTAGCTGCCTTTTTAAATACAATTCATCTACAGTTGTTTATACAGACATTTATCTACAAGGGAGGCCTTACCAAAAGTTCCTGTTTCTTATCTGTGGCAGATTGTCCAATCAATTTATAGAGGTCCATTAGGTCTCCTAGGATCCCATCTGCTAGGACAGGCAGCTGCATGGCAATAGCTGCTAAACAGTGGCACATGAGAATCCTGGCATTGTCCTGGGCACTCTGCAGCTGCGTCAGCAGGGATTCAACCACTGACTGGCTCAGGTGAGGACGGCACTTGACCAGCTTCACCATACAAGTTAACGTGATCTGCAATTCACACATTCAACGGGTACAATAAACACCATGTCTACTCAAAAATAAAAAAGCCACGCACGCTTACTTATCTGCAACTATGACTGCAGAAATACAGATCTGGCATTTTCAAAACCATGTACTCTACAAAAGATAAGATTTTTCTAAGAGCCCAAGCCTTTGTCCCTGAGCTCACAGCACAAAAACACATCACATATTCAAGAAATGTTTATAGTCTTTGTCAGACCACCAGCCTTTACAGGTAAATAACTAGAAAAACTACTGACAGCAGTTTCTGAAGTGGGAAAATAAAAATAATAAAAGCCTTGCGATCACGTACGTTGCATCTCCATCCCCATAAAGCAAGTTCTCTCCAAGATCCTTTTGTCCTCCAGAGACACCTCCATCCATTGTTCATGTTTAATTGCAGCTGTTCCTCTGAGAACAATTCACTTATTCTAGAGCTGAGAGATGGTGCACTACAGCTGTGCTCAGTTTCTCTAGAGCTCTGGACTCTGATTATGGGCAAACCAGAAAAATCTTCATTTCCCTCCAGTTTGTTAGGCTTCCACCAGAAAGGATCTGGTGCATATCGGCCACTCTGTTACATAAGATGTTACTGTAGCTTACAGCTGTGCTAGGGGAAGATAAGAGTAATGTCACCTTTAAGGTTGCTTGAGCTCCTGGACTGTCATCTTGACTACAAAGAACAAGAAGAGCTTCTAAGCCAAAAACTGCATCTTGCTCCAAAGGCAAAAGATCTACAAAAAGAAAAGGAGAGTTAGCTTGTTCTCTATTCGGTTTTCTTACCACAGTCAGTGCAACGCTTGCAGTGCTGTTGCAGTCATGATAGATAAATATCTCCCTAATACTTGGGCCTTACCTTACTTTAGAAACAAATCTGCCATTCCATGTCTCAGGTAACTATTCAGCAGTCACAGCAACTGTGATACTTGTAAAGCATGCATAAACCTATGGACTAAGGCTTCTGAATGCTCTGTTAATCTTTTGCAACGAATTTTGCGCAAACTGTTTTCAAAGGTTGACAAACAATTCACTGGTCTTACAGCAAAAAGGAAAACAAGCATTTATTTAGCACCAGTTCTACTATGCCCAGTAATTTTTTCTTAATTAGACAAAGATGGAATCTTCCCAATCATTCATAACATCATACAGAGTATTTTCTACTAGATTATAGTCCCCATTTTCCCTAACCAGCATGAAGGATCAGACAGATTTACAGACAGGTTCACAGACAGGACCAGTTAATACGTGTTAAGTGCATAAGCGTGATTGTAAACAGACCCACTTTGTTGTCCTTGCTTTCACTTACCTTTGTCCTGACAAGAGGCTGATATATTAGTCAGAATTCTCACACCATGAGCTGCAATGCCACGGTTAGTATGGTAACAGCACTCCTGTGCTAGTTTTACTAAATCGAATGATCTTGCAGTTGTAGTTGCTGTTCCTAAACAAAGACAAGGCAAACAGAACACAAAACTGCACAGTCCATAAACATAACACAGATCTTTAAGTACATTTCTACGAAACAACTATATTGACTACAGATTTTTTTATGTTTAAACGATAGGATGAAAGTACACTACAGCAGTTGGACATGCATAAGAAAGAACATTTGGGTCTAAAGGTTGATGTTTCAGGACTCAGAGAAATTTTCAGGACTCAGAGAAAATATTATGTCTGATTAAAAAAGCTGGTGAGCATATTAATTATTCAGACATGCCAGAATGACTGAAGAGAATGTATTTTTTTTTTCCCATTTCTGCAGTTGATGTAGTTGGGCTTATAATAGTCATTAGGGTTGTCTGGCTTTCAGGAAGAATAAAGAAAACAGTATGATGATAATTCTAAGAACAAGATACCTTGAATCACTTTTAAATGTCTACTCTATTTCTCCAGAATATTGTCACAAGGCAGAAAAGTTCACCTGGTATTGCTGCAGGTCATTGCCACAAGAGTGGCATAGCTTCACTGTACCTGGATAACATGCCAGCCCACCCTCACACCATGAAGCCTCCCTGCTACTCAAGAACTATGGTTTCAAAGCACCTCAAGCAGAATGCAGGTCAGCCATTTGAGAGGCAACACACTGATTGTAAAATAAAGAAATGTTGAAGACTCAAAGGTAAAAACCCCTTTCATATACTATAGGACCCAGAAAACAGAACAAAATCTGAGACCATGATTATTCAAGGGTATACAGCATCCTATTTAAAGTTTACATGTGATAAACACAGTCTGACTCTCAGTAGTATTCTGAAGTTCAAAAATAGTTTAAGAATATGCTACAAAGTGTTTAGACGCAACTGATCATCAGTAGAAAACCAATCTACTAGAAATGCCAAAGATAACTATCTTTTCTTACCTGGAGCACTGCTGAAGTATTGTTTAATGGCAATGGTCCCAGATAATGTGGAAAGAACAGATAACATGCCCATTTTCAAGCTGTCATAAGGAGTGTGAAGAGCAGATTCACAGAGTGCCTAAAGATCAGCAGGAAAAAAGATACAGAGATAAGAATTCCCATAAGCAACCTGTATTAAAAATGTAGTTCCACTTCTCTGAAAAGTTTTGAGAATCAAAATTTTCCTACAGAAAATACTATACTAAAATCAAGCAACTGTTCTAGAAGACTGAGGATCTGGCTTGCAGAAAAGTGACAGTGGGTCTTTCTTATATGCTATGAAATATCAATTATAAGTCACTTATTAATTAAAAATCAGTGGCAAAAATATTATCAGGTCTCATTGATCGAATACTACACAAGATTTTAAGACAGTTTCTCCAGTCTTAGAGGCATACTGATTATTTTGCCTTGTACCAATCTGCAGAGTTTTATGTAAACACACACCTCTGAAGAGCAAAGTTTCAAAAATCATTTCCTTTACCAGTACTGGTGTCCAGCAGAATACAGTTCAAGTTCCTTGATAAAAATACTAAAGTGTATTTTATTTTTAATTCAATTATAATAGAATGTGCCATCATACTTTTGTGCCTTGCTTTTTTAGTCAACAGAGGGACAGTAATATGAGATACAAATGAAAATATAAGTATATTCTGCCTCAGAGAGTGTCAAAGCTGAATGATAATATCCAGTAACTGAATAAAGAAAAACAACAACACAGAATTAGTTTCACAGAACAAAAAAACCTCAGTGGTGTTCTTATCAGGCATATGTATGGTGTAAGGGTTACATTCTAAATACATCTGTAATTTGTACCAATTAGTACTTTGTTAATCCATTGAATAGTATGGCATCAGCAGACAGAGGAAGAGACAATGATTAGTGTTGAAAATGAGTCTCAATGTCTCCCAAGACACTGATGTTTTACTCCAGTGCTATTAGATTCCCTCTCAGAACTTTGAAGAATGTCAGGAGCACAGAAGAATTAGCAGGATGGAGCACAGACTCCTGGTTACCTCTGCAGTCAGAAGGACTGCTCTAGACATCAACAACAGCAGCTTCTAAAGCTGATGTCTACAATTAGTGAAGTCTCCACAACTCAAAGACCAAGCTTCCCATCTGACAGACTCAAAATGCTGAAGAAACTAACCAATTTTTGTTGGTAAAAAGGTACAAGAAGCAGGTCTTGCCACAAGAAAAGGATAGTTTGTTCCAGTCCCTGTTTTATAAACATTACTAAGTCATTTAAATATATAGAGAACAAATTTCCCAACTCCAAATGTTGACTTTATACTTCAGAAGGCAGAAAAATTCTTATTATTTCTGCACGCCATTCAGCAAGCAGATAATTCAGACAATTAGTCTTGTTTTAACCTAGCCACTGGTTTAGTTCTGATATCAAACTGCCACTGGTTTAGTTCTGACATCGATGGAACTTGTCCCTGTGCATTTCAAACACTGGGACATCTACCCTAAGACACTATATGAAAGCAAAAGCCATGTTATCCATGTCTACTCCTGACCAGACATAATGGTATAGAGTAGCATTTTGACTGCAAAGAATCCATAAAACAATTCCCTAAAAATACTTTTCTGGTATTAATACATTATGAAGAACAAAACAGTTCACTTAAACAAAAACCTCTGCACGCTCCAAATCATCATCTCTAAGAATCAAGGGCAAAGCAGAACATGCTTTATTTCTCACATGATTGTTAACAAAAACCCACACAGTTTTTCCTCCCAGCTGCCTTATGCTCCAACAACATAGAACAAAAGTAGCTTCCAAGGGTAGCAAAAGCAAAGAAAAATGACCCAGAAAAAAGTAGAGCTGTAACCCTCTGCCATTAAGTTCTTGAAATATTTACTTTTCCATTAATCTAACCCAAAGTTATTTTCTACAGTCATTTCTACCAGAAAAAGAGAAAGACAAGGAGGAAAAAAATATTCACATGCAACTGTGATTGAAAGAAGGCAGTGACAGTATCTACAATATAACAATAGTTTCCCCAAAAAGCACAGGTGCACTATAAACACCATCGAGGGTCTCATTCATACTACGGGAGTCACAAGGTTACTATTGAAAATAAGCCATTAATCCTAAGAAAGTAAGTCAAAATGACACTTGTCCTTTCAAGTATATCTTGCTGGATGACAGGCTTTGACAAATCCCAGAGACTCTGTGTTACACGAAAGCATTAATAATTACTCTATATTTTAAGATTAATATAAACATTCAGCTCTCGTGTCTATTACCTCAGATCAGTTTGTCAGATGGAAAAGTTATTTCCTTACTGTAAAAAGGCCTACTACATTACCCATGCCTTTCCTCATCTTTAATACTTCAATTTTGATCCTTATGTGCCAACTTGTCCAATAAAGATATTCTACGAACTGCTCATTAATACTTGGCTACTCTGCTTGGCACCTAACTGAAGGATATGGAGATGCATGTTCCTCCTTCCTTTACCTCCCAAATTGTTCTTCTAGAAAGAACCCTACAACTAATTGGAAAGTTTCATAATTAACTTTAGCTTAAAAATGTATAAACCTGAATATTTTCTCTGCTCCATGTATGTGGTGTCTTGTTGGCCAGCAACTTCAAATCCTGGATGGCAAGCCTCTTCACAGCCTTCCTGGGGTCATTTTTCAAGTACTGCAACAAAAGTTGGATCTACAACGAAATAAATTCATTGTTTAAGAGATATGCTACTAGAAGGAAGTCTTTCCAAAAGCACTCTTGAAGAAATATTGAGCATACTCAACCAAAATTAACTTGTCCTATCTGTCTGATTGCTTGCCACGTGGCTGTGAAGTCACTGCAAGCTAAAACAGTCTGGCATTTTTTACCATCCAGCTCTCTTAGTTCATGTACCCTTCTCTACATAACCCTGTGTACCTGAGAAGCCTCAAGATATGTTGCAATGGTCAGAAATACCATAAAACATCCCTGAGAAACTCAGTAAACACCTTATACTGTTGTAATTATGCTGCTAACCAGTATTCTGGGCATTTGATGCTAATTTGGGCATCTGTGTGATCTGCACTTAACAGATAGCAAGACAGACATACCTTGTATGTCAGCAGTTGCAAAAACAACCCCCAAAACCCCAACCAAACAAAAACAATCCCTACCCACACCCTCTGAAGCATTTATCTCAATTTAAGCAACACTTGCCTGCATGTCCTTTATTGTGATCATTGACTGCAGATTTACAAACATGGAATAGCCAGGACATGAAAAAGCATGAACCTCCCCACCATGACTACATCAGTTTTAAGCAGTATTGGCTGCTGTTGTGTTGCAGAAATACAGCCTAAATCTCCATGCTTACAGCCATTTAAAAGAAAAAAAAAAGCAGCACATTAAGTGTTCTAATGCTGTTTCAGTAGACTGAGATTCGGTACTATCAAAAGCATCCTCTGAAATACAGAAATGAGCCATAACAAAAGTTTCAGACAGATCAATGCTATTAGTCTAACAGTAACAGATACCAGCTTTCCACAGCTGTACAGGACTGAAATAAAGCAAATAGACTTTCATGACTACTTTACAAGGATTAGTGAGATGAGTCTCAAGTGTCACTGTGTTCAGATCTGCTATATAAATCACATCCACAAAGCTCATTACCAGAGCATAAAAGCATTGTACTTTTCCATCACTGCTTTCCCATTACTTGGTGTATAGTCCTAAATTTAAACAACAGATTCAAATTCTCAAAGTTCTTCAAGAAATACATTTTAAATGCATTCCGTGCTACTGAAATATTCATTTGCTTGCATGAAGGAAAGACAAAAGGCACCCCCACAACACAAGGCAATATACAGCAGTGAAAAGTGAAGCCTGGCTTCTACAGCCACAATGAAATGTTTTCAGAAAGTCAGGGTGTTTGCTTTTCTGAATGCTGATCGATCCTAGTTGATTTCAATCTCAGTTGATTTAAAGAAAGACAGGTTATGATCTGTAAAAAAGGGTTAATGTGTTTGATGGGGTTGTCTGGAAACAGAACCATCTAGAATTTGAATTTTTTTCAAATGAACTTGGTACTTAATGCATTAGGAAGAATCACCTGCTTAGGAATGTCAACCAAAGAAGAAGCAGCAAGCAGAGTAAAGGTGTGCAGAGTAACAATGACCATCTTGGTAGAGGGGTAGGATGTCACCAGCTGCTGGAGCAGCTGCCGGGAGCTGGAGGCCAAGCTGGCATCATGATGCATGTGCTGCAGAATGGGGATCAACTTCAACTTCAAATCCACGGGTGTGGCCAAACCTGCCACGAGGAAAAGAGACAGGCAGAGTGTCAGTCCTTGTACTGAGGGACACAATATGTCTACATTGCCATCAGTGCTGAATGCAGACTGTGCAGACACATGCACTGGATTCAAATAGCTCATCTCTGGGACAGGTGTGTAACAACAGCAGTATCAAGCACTGTCATGGCTGTTTGAGAAAGCTGCTCCTTGATTCAGTGCAGGGAGCACACATATTAACTCATCTGAAGCAACCTGTGAGAGTCTATGTAAGTTTATTCACCTACTGTAGGTAAGTTTTTATTCTGTACCAAACAGGTGCTTCGAGAACTTAGATTTTAAGAGGACACAAGAGCCAGACATTAGATTACTGGTTAGCTAATTTAATTTAAAAATTGGACTTATCTGAGTACAAGGGCAACAGCATTCTGGTATCTAATAGATAAATATGAATAATAAAGAATTTTCAGAGAAATTAAAGCTTTTCCCTTTTATCATTCAATATACACATGTACCTTGAATCATCTCACTGATTTTATTACAAATTCCAACAGCAAAATCCCTGTAGAGAAAAGAAAGTACCAGGTGAAATGAAAAACCAAAAATTAAGTAATGAAAATTCTAAAAATTACATTTAAAAATCAACTGAACATTGTGTTTTAACAATAAAAACATTCCCCAAAAAGTGCCTGCCAAGACCTAAGTCTTTTCAGAAATTCTGCACAAGGGGATGATCAAATGATAAAATGGAAGTTTTCAAAAAAATGTGGCAAAATGACAAGCAGCACTACATTTTGGTCTCTAATATAATTTCTGTAAAATAATCCTTGATTAAAGCTGCTATTCCACTTTGAATTTTCATATTTATGAGCTTTCCATTTTTGTAAAAACTAACGTTAAACTTGTATTCAGGTTTCTCTACAATATTATTATTGTACATAATTAAATGTTTTGCTATAAATGACATTGTTATCACTAGAGAAGGAAATAGTAAAGTTTGTGAATGAGTTAATGAAATTAAAAAAAATCTTACTTAGACTGTGCAGAAAAGTTGGCAGCAGCAAATATAGCAGCTTCCACTTCCACATTATCATGGGAATCCAAACTCTGACGAATACTGTGATGTGCATTCTTCCTTTCTGGAATAATAGATGCCATGCTGCCCAACATCCTACAGAAATAAATCCCAGAAAAATCAGGAAGAACGATGTTCAAGAAGAAACGTAAGATGAAACCTAATAGAAATGTAAAATGACTGGTTAAAACACTATTTTTTTCTATAAGTATGTGTGCTCTTCCACACCTATTACAGAAACAAGCAAATGCTAAAAGTAGGCATATAATTAAATGGTAACAAATTTTGTCATGAGGGTTATGTCAGTGGTTTGATAAAAACTTAATTACATTATGATACCTCTTATCTTGAAATTGTACAGTGAGAAACATACCAAAAATTCTTTTAAAATTAAGAGTGCACTATGGCACCAGGAATAAGCATTTTTGAGATGCTTTTACATTCAAGCTCTGATATTAATACAACAGATTTAATGCTGAAATGTCCTTATGGCTATTTTCAGAAACACATAAAGAACACCATGAGATATAAATTCAAAAATGTGGTAGTCTAGGGCGATATAAAAACACATTTAGAGAATTACTAATTTAATTTCTACTTTTTCTATCCCTCTTCCTAATTAAAACTTCAGAAGTAAGTACAGAAGTAAATGTCTGAACAGTCATAAATTTTAACCACATGCTATGAAAGAGAAGTTTCTACAGTAGTTACTATGATCAAGTAATCAAATATCTGACTTTCATAATTTGTTCCTAAGATCTTTCACTGATGTGGGATAAGGTTATTAGCAGGAATAGTGCAATACCTTTTGTGTAACTGCTAACAAAGTTGCAAGTCAATTTATACTTTGTTATGAAAAGATACCCTTCAGACATATTTAGCATAATCCAGTTAAAAGAAAAAGGAATGCAGGGTGGTAACACTGATGGTAATTTTAGCAAGAGTTCTGTGCAAGTATTTACACACACTTATCTAGCAATAAAATTTCACAAAGTTTTGGTTTAGCAGATCTTTCTTTCTACATGTTCTTTCTTACTGACACTATTCAAGGACAAAACCAAAAGCCATTTTGATGTTTCCCTTGATGCATCCTGTGAATTTATTAGTAATTTAAGTATTTTTTCAAACAGACTGGATTCCTGGGACTTCTATCAGTCTGCTAAGATAACTCTCAATGCCAGCCAACAACTGCAAGCATATGTTAGAATACTACAGTGGAACTACAAGAAAACATGTAGTCCCATTGTATTTAACGATTTCTGAGACCAGAGCATGAAAGCACAATCTCAAATGAAATACCAAAAGAAAAAAGAAGTAGACATATGAGCTAATCAATCAAACCCGTTAATGCCTCCCCATCTTTCAACAGTGAAAGCAGTAACAGTTCTAAATGGAGAGAAAAAAAGAATATAAAGGGAAAAAGAGAAGTGCTCTTCACATTCACCTGCACAGGGGTTGGAAGATGCACAGAAGATGCACTTAAGATGATGATGTTGAACAGTGCTGGAGACACAGACACCAAAGCAGCAGGACAATGACATTAAAGACAGGTTTATTTTATTTGTTTTCCCATTTGATTCCTAGGAAGTCCAAAGCAATCAACAATACAACAGCACTTCCTTAGAAGTTATTGATCAGACCAACAAGCAGTAAACTTCTAGGACAATGATGAACGAAAAACAGGTGCAAGTATAACAAAGTTCGCATAAGCTTTGGTTACTAGTTAACAAAAATTATTTTGACATGTAAGGAAGCACTTTCCTTTTGGTCCTGGTGTAAATATATCATAGGCAATATATGATATATTGCATATGGCTACTGTCTGGGTTATGCATACAACAAGGTTCAGTTTTCTTCTTGTGAGTACACAAAATTTCAACACTACAAATTCTGTTTTACCTGAAGCCATCCACAAAATTCTCTCCATCATACATGATTAATAACCTTGTTCTTCTGATCACAGATCTTTATCATTCACCCCCTTTAAAGACAGATGTCTTTGCTTTTAACTCCATGAACAATGTATAAAAAGCCTTCTATATTTCATTCATAAAATCGTAGAACAGTTTGGTTTGGAAGGGACCTTAAAGATCATCTGGTTCCAATGCACCCGACATGGGCAGGAACACCTGCCACTAGATCAGCTTGCTCAAAGCCCCATCCAACCTCACCCTGAACACTTCCAGGGATGAGGCATCCACAGCTTCTCTGGGCAACCTGTTTCAGTGCCTCACCACCCTCCCAGAAAAGAATTTCTTCCTAATAGCTAACGTAAATCTATTCTTTCAGTTTGAAGCCATTCCTCCTTGTTCTATCACTACGTAGACGCCCTTGTGAAAGGTCCCTCACCATCTGTCTTGTAGTTTCCCTTCAGATACCAGAAGGCTGCAAATATGTCATTCCAAAGCCTTCTCTTCTCCAGGCTGAACAACCCCAATTCTCTCACCCTTTCCTTGTAGGGGAGGTGCTCCATCCCTCTAATCATCTCGGTGGCCTCCTCTGGACTTTCTCCAACAGGTCAATGTCCTTCCTGTGCTGGGGAACCCACTACTGGACGCAGTGCAGTGCTCAAAGTGAAGTCTCACCAGAGCAGAGTAGAGGGGCAGCATTCCCTCCCTCAACCTGCTGGTCAGGCTGGTTTGGATGCAGCCCAGGACACGACTGGGTTTCTGGGCTGTCAATGCACACTGCTGGGTCATGTCCAGCTTCTCATCCACCAGTACCCCCAAGTCCTTCTCGGCAGGGTTGCTCTCACCCCCTTCATTCCCCAGCCTGTGTTGATATCGGTGGTTGCCCCAGCTCAGGTGCAGCACCTTGCACTTGGCCTTGTTGTTCCAGTCAAGCACAATGATAATTAGCTACAGATATGAAGTAAATTAGGATCATTTATGTAATACATACCGGAGTGTAATAGCCCGAGCAACTGGATCATTGCTGTGAATTACTGAGAAAACTCTTTTGACAAATTCATCCACATTTAGGATCTTCTCCAAGTGCTTCTCACTCTGCTGAGTAACTTTCAGCACACACAACCTCAGGAAGTTGTTCCTATTAGAAAATACACACATTTCTTTGTCAGGCTATTTTATAACAAAAATTCAAGGACTTGAAAAAAAACTATTTTAAAACAACTTCCGAAAGAAAATTAAAACGAGGAAAATGTCTATGCTTCAGAAATGTTTGAGTAGACTGATGTAATACAAAAGAGACTATTAGTACACTAGTGTTTTCTTTTCTAGTTCTGGTAGTGTCAGATTTAGGCCCAGTTCCAGGGAAATGAACCAGCTGGCACCAGTGAGGAGGGGTGTAAGTAAATGCCTGTTTTGTGCACACTTAGGGATCCAATTCTTCTAGAAAAACACATCCAAGACTAAGGCAAGAGAACTTAATTGCCACTGTCGGGTGTGAGTGAATTTCTTTCCCTTCTTGGAGACAGCAGTGAAGATTCCACTCAACATTTAACTTTGTAACTTATTCCAAAGTAGCTCCGATTCCATTAGATACATCACTTAGACAGCAGGCACTTGGAAAAGCTATACTTTGAGCTTTGTTATTAACATTGCATGACTTAGAGACAAAATTTGCACATATGACCATTCATCTTTTTACAAATTACAAATCTGAATGCGCCTGTGAAGCAGACCTTACACCAGTGAACTTATATCAGTCAGGAAGGGAATCCTCAAATCAGGACAGATGAAAAGGAACTCTGTCATTGATCACTCACAGCCACTTAAGCCCACGAAAGATGGGGAAAGCAAACCTCAGTGGAGCACAATCTGTCCCCAAGAGCGAGTCCTACCGACCGGAGATTTGAATGGAGAGAAACTCACCGATGGCACTTACCCCACTCTGAAGACATCAGCCAGCTTTAGGAACGCCGAATTGATGAGAATAGGGAAGGGATATTTCTGGAAGAGCCTGGGAAAACGAACGACGGCTTCGCACTGCTCCCCCAGTTTCCCAGACCTGAGGCCTAAGCGAGACAACAGGAATTACCGCAGATACCTCCAGACCCAGATCCTCCCTCCGCCCTCGCTGTGGATAAAGCGGCACAGCGCCAAGCTCCCACCCCGGCCCTGCGACAACCCCGAGCCCGCGCGGCCTCACCTTTGTCCAGCTCCATCAGTGCGGAGTTGGCGTCCAGCTCCTGCTCTCCATAGCCCGCGTCGGCCAGGAACGACTTGGCGCTGGACGCCATTCCTGCCCCTCGCCGCCAGCCCCGCGCACGCGCACTCGCACTCCCGCCGCCGCGCCATTCCCGCGCAGGCGCGTGCCCGCCCCACCCACTGCGGCCGCGGGAAAGGGCAGCCCGGAAGCCCCGCCCCCCGCACCGCCAGCTCCCAATCAGAGGAGGAGGGCGTGGCGCCTCGCGCTCCCCGCCGGCCAATGAGGGCGCACCGCCGGCTTGGCGGGCCGGTCGTTTTGGCGGGAGTTGTATTGGCGCGCACCGGCCGTGTCCGCCCGGCCATGCTGTGCCGCGCGCTGCTCCGCCGCGCCACCGCCGCCACCACCGACCGTGGGTACCGCGGCACGACCGCTCCTCATCTTGACCTGCCCCCGCGCCCCTCCACAGCCCCTGCGGCGGCGTCGGGGCTCCTGGCGCCCGAGCCGGCTGTGTCTGGTGCGCTTACGGTCCGTCTGTCCCGTTGCAGGTCGTTCCCCGCCGCTTCCCCTGCAGCATCTCTTAGATGGCTACCAGTGCAGCCAGGAAGATGACCACCTGTCTTATGGGGAAACGGGGTTGCCGGTCCCTCCTTTCGGCTGCACCTTTTCTACAGGTAAAGTCACTTTCTGAAAACCCTTTTGGAGGCCAGGGTGTGGGCACTGCTGTCAGCTTTTTTTGTTGTTCCTGTTTGATTCTGTCTCATTATTTGGTTTCAGACTTTTTTTGTTTTAAAGTGAGCTGGTAACAGTGTACTTGCTTCTAGATGTGATATACATTGGCTCGTGGTGCTCCTATATATACTGATGGAAAGTATTCCCCTAAAGAAGCAACTACAAAGCATTTATTTTAATACCTTCTTGTTTCAGCTGTGTCTGTTTCAAGGTATGTCCTCTTGGTGACAGTGTGAGGCTACATAGGTGAAAAACTGGGCTTTGTTCAAAATAGATAAAAGATGTAACAGCATGGAGAACAGTTTGTAGAAACCAAAGACATGCATGGTGGATGCATGTCACCAGGCTGATAACACACAGCATTTCTCCACGGTGAGCACATACTGAGTGGAGTAAACACGGAAGCTCCTGGATCTTTAGGGCAAAACTCTTTCATTCTTAGTACTCTAGTTTCAACATGAGCTCTTACGTTTTTCCAAGGCAGCTTTCTGCTTTTCCAACTCAGATCATGAAAACCACTGGAAGCTGTAGATGATACATAGCATAGACAGAGAAAACTAACTGGAGAACGATTATAACTGGTGGAAGAGGCCACTTCTAAAGTTGCTCCTGGAGCCATTTGGTTGCCCATGTACAGTTACTCCTGAATGGAACGTCTAGAAAAAATGCTTGCCAATATTTCTGCATTTTGAATATTTATGTTGCTATGTAAATACTGTTTATTTTGCAGCTATCTATTTGCTGTGTACTCTATTTAAAGAGTCTGTGTCCCTTCACAAAGAACAGGGGTATGAGTATGAATTAGCTACATAATATATTATGTTTCAATTTATTTTCAGCACCAAATTGGGAGCATGTACTAGCAGTTGCAAATGAAGAAGGATTTGTTAGACTCTATGATACTGAAGCTCAAGCTACCAGGAAACTCATCTTTAAAGGTAAGTGTTGAGTAGAAGGTAATCTTCATTTGCTATAACAAGTATGGGGTTTACTGGAATCAAAGTAAGCTTTTTGCAAGTCATTAAAACATAAATGTAGGCAGTATTTAAATCCTTTTACATACTTTGTTGAGTCTTCTTAACAGAGTAGGAGCATGAATGTGCTCTTACAACAGCAGTAGTAGGTGAATTGTTCTATGTTGTTTTTCATGCCTAAGCAAGCTGTTGACAAGATTTCTGATTTCAGTGTCTGATGTCCTTTAGTCTTCTGCAAAATATTGTGCTGCAATGCACTGAACTAATCTTGACTTTTGTTTTCTTGTTAGAATGGCAGGCTCACTCAAATGCTGTATTTGACCTTGCCTGGGTACCAGGGGAACACAGGATTGTAAGCAGTCTTTTGCCTTCTAACTTTGTTTTTAATGCTTTGGCAACTGTGTACAGAAAAAGACTAAAGCTTTTTATTTTTGCTTCTGAAGGTCACTGCTTCAGGAGATCAGACAGCCAAGGTGTGGGATGTGAGAGCCGGCGAGCTTCTTGGCATATGCAAAGGTCACCAGTGTAGCCTCAAGTCAGTTGCTTTTTCTAGATTTGAGAAAGGTAAGTGTTGATATTCCCTATTTGTTCCTCTTTCTCTCTGGCAAAGTACTTTAAGGGCTAAAAAAGGGCTTTGGAAACTGACAGGTACAGGTATCACAGGCCTACTGAGGAGGGACCCAGCCAGAGAAGCAGAACTAACTTGCTGGAACTCGATGGTGTTGTGATGCTGACATCTGCACTTTTCCGATCTTGGGCAAAGTTAAGATAGAATATCTACTTCCATACATAAGTGTGTGAATATGCTTTTCATAAGTAGATTTCTCTAGAGTATTAGAAAAAAAAAAGAATAGGAAAAGTAAGAAAACTAGTCAAAAAGCACGGCAAAACAATGGCCTGGTTTTCGTATTTCTAGGACTGGTTTCATAAGTGTTGAGGCAGAAGAGCCAGAGTGCATAGATGTCGTTGTACTGGATTCAGTTAATTAAATTAACACTTTTGGAAGCTAATAGCACTCTTTTTCTCCCTCTCAGCTGTCTTCTGTACTGGAGGCAGAGATGGAAACATCATGGTTTGGGATACCAGATGCAACAAGAAAGGTAAATGAACTTTCAGATATGTATGAAAAAAGCTGGGTATCTCATATAAAAGTACCGCTCAGAGTCACTTGTTGGACTAATGCTTTTGATTACGATATAGGCAAAACTTCAGTAAAAGGGAAGGATTGTCACATAACTACTGCTTTGGTACTGTAAAGGGATGGAATAGGTATCTCTTCTATGTATGATGCATTTTTCCACTTCATAACAGTCTCAGGTTTGCTGCATGATACACATTCTGGCTTGATAATACCCTGTGGGTTGGTAAGGAGATAAGGGGGTACAGAATACATCTCTGTTAGGACAGCACAAAAAGCTCTTCAAATGGACAAGTGGGGGAAAAGAGAGACTCCACATGATTGAAGTGGGACGTGTAGGGGAAAAAAAAGTAAGAAAGTTGCATTACTCTAGTAAAGCAGTAAGTTTCATAAAGTGAGAAGTAGCAGACAAAAGACTAAATAGAAAATTATAAAATAGAGTAGAAAAGCACTGTGAGTGCAATTCTGCTTGGGATGAGTTGAATGCTCCAGACCAGGTACATGCTGAAAACCAAACTGGGGGTAATGATTTCTAAAGGCAGCCTTCTCAGTTTTAGTTTCAGTGTCCATGCTACACTGACCTTTGTAATTTTTTGCATTATATGTTCCTGATGCTTACTGTATTCTCACCAGTTTCATATATAACTAACAGTTTTTGTTTTCAGAATACGTGAATGATTTTAAAGGTTTGTCTCAGCCACCTCTTAGGACTAATTCCAAGCTGATGCCTGTTTTATTAAAGTGACAGGGAAATTGCATGGAAACTATTAATTGAGATGCCTTTGATTTCTTTCAGATGGATTTTACAGGCAGGTGAAGCAAATCAGTGGTGCACACAATGTGGCTGACAAGCAGACTCCTTCCAAACCTAAGAAGAAGAGGCAGAACTTAAGAGGACTTGCTCCCTTGGTGGTAGGTATCCGGGGAACAAACAAAGCATAAGCCTCTCTTCTGGGGACACTGTTATGCATAGAAGTCTTCCTAAGTAAACATAGCGAGAAATATGTGGCTTGTATGTGGTAAATGCTTCCATTTATCTTTGCAGAAGTAGGTTTTTGTGTCACGGTCACTTGCTATGGCTAATTTTAGACTTTGTTTAGTTGCCTAACAACCCATGTGCCATCAAAGCCAACTTTGTGCAAATGCTGTGTGAAAATACATCTTTTCTTCCCGGAGAGGAAAGGAATAGCCAGCATTTTGAAGGGGGGGAAATGGCGAGGGTTGTAATATTTATTTTTTTTCTGTGTTTTTCTCCCCCTAATGTGACCTGACAAATTACTGCCTTATTGAAATAAGACCTGGTAATATTTAATCTATTAAACTTTGTGATAAAAGCAGCTCTCTTATCTCTGACCTGAAAGGTATAACCTCAAACTGCTGCCCAGACACTCACTGCTCAGGAGCAATTTCCCTGGTGGGAGTGTTTGAAGGATTGTTGTGTCCTTAATGACATCTGGTATTTCCAGGTTCTCCTGTGTGGCTAGAGGGAGGAGGTTTTCTCAGTATTCATTTGGCCTTCAACTAAGCAGCAAGATCTTGCTGACCTTAAAAGAAAATAAAGTTCTTTTTTCTTTTCTTTTTAAGGATTTCCAGCAGAGTGTAACTGTGGTGCTGCTTCAGGACGAGCACACTCTTATCTCTGCAGGAGCTGTTGATGGGTAAGGAGGGAGGATGCTTCCTTGTCTGTGTGCTCTTCTTAGTGGCATAAAAAGATTAGGAGATTTTTTTTTCTAAGATCACTCGGTGTACAAGGCTAGAGTTATTGCTAGGTAGAACCAACAGCTACCCTGTCAGTTTGCACTGGCAAAGCTGAATGCTGCTTTACTTCCTTGCTGGAGATTACAGCACTGGACAAATTGTGCATATATGGTAAATGCTCGTTTTGGTGTCCTAGGTATGGGGCAGAATGAGAGCAATTCTTATCTTTCTCTCTCTGTTCTCATGGACTTCTGAGACCACACATAGACTATTGTTATACAGCTGTTTTGTGATGTGAGTGGGTGCTTGGTGCCTGGATATGTGTAGGCGTGCTTGAGAAAATGTTGCCTTGAGTTACAAAAGATGCGTTCTTTTAGGTGCCAGATCCATTGCAACATCTTGGAGCTCAAGCATACTGTCTCATTGATAAGCATGGAAATCACCCTCTTGGATTCAATTCTTTAGCAGGTTCCATGTGCTCAGAGCCTTTCTGGGGCAGATAACATTGACTTTTCTGCTCATGACAGAGGCTTGGTCCCCAAGAGCAAGGGAAAAAGGGAAAGACTTAATTT